TGTCGGGCTTATTAGATTTAGCGACCGCAGTTTCATACGCCTGTGTGTTTCACAAATGCAAACACGCCTGCAAAGATGATTAAATAAGAGACAACCCAAATATTTTTTGCTTGCATTCATTATTTAAAGGTTCACATAAAGTCAGTATAAGCATAATCAGATTACGCACATAGATAAAGGAGACTGGGATGGCCACTTATAGTTTTTTAGTGGTCAGCAGCCAGTCAACAATACCTCATCCCAGGTGGTGCACTGCTCAAAACCACGAACTATTAATTAGAAGTCCATCGCTCTAACCAGTGCGCCAAAGGTGCATCCTCCTGTCGGTATCGATCGGGAATATTAGACGGGTGCTCACCGATTGGTTACAAAACTCACTCTTCCCATACTGCTTTGAGGCTCACTCCAAGGCCCCCCCAAGCAGCCGTACAATGCCTAGTATTTTAGGCATTGACGAGCGTTCATTAACTACTGTTAATTTTCCCAATAGAAAACAACAAGAAAATATGCTCGTAGCTCAACGGTAAGGGCATTGGACTTCGAATCGACGGGTCGTGGGTTCGAGTCTTGAGTATTGCAGCACGTAGAGTTAGGTATGGCTGGTTGGTTGGCTGATGACGGCTAACAAGGTAGAATCGACAATTTCAGTCTCCTCTGTCCTTGTCCGTTATGTGTTTTTGTTTATAATACTAGTCGTTGTGCGGCTGTTGGCGGGGCTAGAGAGCGAGCCCCAAGGGGACACGGGACGAGTAAGTCCTGTAATCGATCGGCAAGCATCAATTCACCAATACTAACGTCATAAAGAAAAGGCTTTATGTATAGGTAGAGGAGAGGGCTTTTCGATCGCGGGAATGATAATTTTATTCATCTGAGCTTTCGGGCTCTTACTGGAGTCCATCGTCAGAGATAAAAACGTCAACGAAAAACAAGCAACAATTATAGGGAGCAGGGGTCAATTAACCGCTGTAGGGACGGGAAGAGGAGGGAAAAGGGGTTAGTCAACTACTAGTGCCGTCAGTGGGAAGACGCCTTTGCAGGGCGATGTATGCCGACGCCAGATCCATAAATCGATTGACTGACTTCTCACCCGATGCCTAGGCTTCAATCAACTCTCGGTCTGTCTGAAGATGGACTCCAGTAAGTGCCCGAAATCTCCGATGAATAAAATTTTGATTCCGGTTCTCGAAAGGCCTTCTTTTTCTCTACCTATACACATATCTTGGATGCGAATATTTGCCTCAATTCGTGAGAGGCCTATATTTTTGTTCATGTCTCCACTCTGTTATCCACTAATTTGTGATCAGTGGAATAAAGAGCGAACAGCTAGAGTACATCTGAGCAGGGCTTCTTCTAGCATGCCTAAAAGAATTTCATTTTTATAGTCCAAATATTCTACACTTACGCAGAGGTAGTTTTCAATTTTTGTTACGCGCTTATCTGTGAAAAAGAAGGCCACACCCAAAAGAAGGCAATGCCAACGGCAAGATAATACCATTTTATGTCGTCAAAGTATTAAAAAGTCTAGGAATAAAATATTTTAAAAGAGTGGGTTCTTAATGGCCCTTAGTTTTGCTGCCAAGCACTCAATGATCTCATAGTAAGACAAATGCTCTGCGGCTAATACGTAACACAGCGTAATTGTCTCTGTGAATTTGGCAAATTAGAGTCAAAAAGATGCATGTCCAAATTATTTAGGAGGTTTGGCAGGTTTGCTTAATTAAGTTGACCCAACTGTGAAAAAAATTGCGGAATTCGTTGGGATTTGAGCCCACATAATAGGGAAAGCCTTTACGCAGCCAATGCACTACAGTTGAGCTACATGTGCTACGCCTGGAACTGTGGGTTTAATCACACTTGGATCGATTTTACCCGCCCAACTTTGCCGCTCGTATGGAATCCACCACTACGGAACAACAAGCTGACTGCCCAAGCAGGATTTCCTAAGCAATCATCTAGAATTCACTAGAAGGACTACTAGGCTGACTTAATTCTTTAGGAGGGATGGCAGATTTGCTTAATTTAGTTGACCCAATTGTGAAAAAACTCGCGGCAACCCAACGTAAAGGCTTTCCCTACTATGTGACTTCAAATCCCGCCGAATGCTGCGAGTTTTTCCACAATCGATTCAAGCAAACAATGTCCAAATGGCTTTGGCATACTGGAATTCCTTTCAGTTCAGTCTTCCCTCTGTGTTTAGTATTTAAGGCAACCGAGTAAATGCATCTACCTAGTTTTTGTTCGAAAGTTGTATGCTTCGGCCAACAACCAACAACAAGAGCATTTTCGACCAGTCGGACACGTACATGTGCTCCAATCCTTTTTTATACTGCAGTCTGCGGCCGACGCCCACAAAGTATGCAAAAGTCGGTTGCGGCGAACGCGTACTGTCGAGACCAGCTAGTCGCAGGTAATAGTCAACGGAGTTGCTAATTTTCACCATTCACAGTTACATGCAACGTCACGAGTTCTCGACTTTGGTTGCCTAGTGCACGCTGTTGACTGCTTTTAAAGCTGTCGTTCGGACTGCGTTAGGGATTCGTGTACAAAATAAAAATCCACTGGCGTTACTTGTTCCGTCCTCTTAACAGGAGTGGACCCTACATTGTAGCGGTGAAGGTACCCAAACTATATAAGTCGCTCAGTAGCTTTTTATGACAAAGAGAAAACCTGTGGGCGCGTTTTGTGTGAAGCAAAAAGCTTTACGGTATATTAGCCTTATATAGCAGTAATAAAAGTGGTTTAAATATCACTACAGCTAAGTGGCTGCTGCGTTATTCACTGTAGGAGTTGGTTTAGCAAATATAAGGGCGTAATAAAAGTTTGAATTGGGTACTAAATGCCCACTAACACTAGAACCCTAATATGTTCCTGCTGTAGCGGTTGTTTAAAAGTCGACAACCTCATTATAGCTACCTTTGCTCTATACTGGCAGAATCGCCACAACAAAAGTGCATGAGTAGTGCCCGTTGTGAGCGTCGACAACAGCACACGCGAAACAACTGGCTGATCTCGACCGCCAGTCAGGTGTGAGACACAAGGTCACGCAAACAAGCTAGCGCACCGGGGGATGTGACGATGGAGCGTTGTGCGTACGCTGGAGCCACACAGTGACATGGTTTTTATTGTGCAAGAGTACAACCCAAAGCAAAAGCGGCAGTAAAGTACTGACAGGATAAAGAATCCTGAGCCCAAACAAACGTTTTTTTTACATATCTAAATAGCAGCTGTGTGGTTACAAACGGTGCTGGAGAGTTAGCCCAAAAGCACAACGGAAAGAGTCAGTCCTGTAAATGATCGGTGGGCGCCTATCTACTGCCGTGTATATTCTCGATCGAAACAGGCAAGGCAACGAGCTAGTGACATAGTAGTTAAAGTGTTGGACTTCTAACTAACAAGGTCACGGGTTCGAACCTTGGAGGGAGCATTACTTGGGGTTGGCTTTAACTGGCTGATGACGGCTAATTAGCCAGAAATGGTTGTTCTAATCGCCCTTGTCTT